TTTGCTTTTCAACAAGTACACCCATACTATTCTCTAGTGATCATCTATGAATGTGACAAAATAATAGGCTCCTCCAAGAGATCTTTCTTATGGTGCGCAAACATCTAAATGTACCAATTTAAGGACTTCATCTCTCCGTGAGGGAATATCAGATCTCTGAAAACTGACTCTATGTTGTTTACCATAAAGACAATCAGTACATGAGTCTAAAATTTGATCTTTTATACCTGAAAGGTGGTCTTCCACAAGAATTTGATGTGTCTTCTCACTCATATGCCCCAATCGTCTATGCCAAAGATCTTTGGAGTCAGTAGCAACATTTGCTTCTCTAGAACAAATTCCTCCTTGCATAATGTATAAAGATCCTTCCTTTGAGCCTCTAGTAATTTCTAGGTTGCCTTTTGCTAGTTTCCACTTTCCAGCACCAAAGTGACTTGCAAAACCAACAGCATCCAACTTACCCGTTGAGATAAGGTTGAGACGGATATCTGGGACATGTCTCACCTCCTTTAGTACAAGTTTGCCTCCTGTGTCTGTGAGCAATACAATATCACCAATTTCCGCAATCATGCTTGTAACATGGTTTCCTATTTTCACTGTTCCATAATCACATTTCTTGTAGTTTGAGAAAAAACCTTAATGTGGACTTACATTAAAAGAGGCACCGGAATCAACGATCCAAGAACAATCACCGTATGCAACATTTAGGTAATTGTCTTCTCCAATGAGGAGAACATCATCGTCTGTGGCGATGGCTGTGGTAGGCTTATGACCATTTTTCTTTGGATCAACTAAGTCTTCATGAACATTTCCAACTTTCTGGTCTCTCTTCAGAGATCTACATTCAGATCTCTTATGTCATTCTTTACTACAATAGTAGCATATCATTGTCCTCATGCGAGATTGAAAGTGACCTCTGAATCTGCTTTTGCTTCTGCCACGAGATCCATCCTTCCCATGAGTTTCACTTCTTCCACGTCTCTCCATAACATTTGATTCAAAATGGAAGGATATACTCAGTTGTTTCCTTCTGGATTCTTCATTCAATAGACTGTTTGAAACAGTGTCCATTGAGACCTTCCCATCTGGGACAGAGTTGCTGAGCATGACCACCAATGTATCCCAACTCTCAGGCAACGAACTCAGTAGCAGAAGTGCTTGCAACTCATCATCAATATTCTTATATGTCTTTGTCAATTGATTGACAAGACCCTTGAATGAATTCAAGTGCTTTATCATGTTCTGCCCATCTCTGTAGTCGAGTTTCACCAGTCTTCTGACAAGAGATGCTTTATTTCTGGGAGTTTTCTTTTGAATCATAGATTCAAGTTTTGACCACAACTCATAAGCATTTGTTTATGTGGATAAATGTTCGAACAAACTTCTATCAATATACTTTCGAATCATTGCAACAGCTTTTCGATTGGAAATCTCCCAATCTTTGTCATCCTTACCTTTGGGCTTGTCTTTGTAAGAAATAGGCTCATGCATATCCTTGCAGTACAAATGATCCTCCGTCATGGGTTTCCAGTAAGAAAAGTTGTCAAATGTCAACTTGAACATGTCTCCATCAAAAGAGACATTATTGGCTCCTTCCATCTTGGACTACACAGGCTAAGCTCCCCGAATGAACCTGTGAGCTCTGATACCACTGTTGGGAAATTCTGAACCAATTTTCCTCCTCTGTGTGATGCAAAATGGACACTTGCGGAAGCGGCAAGTGAATAAAGTAAATAGAAAGAGTAAAAGAATGACACCAAAGAATTTTAACGTGGAAAAACCTTCTCAATGTGAGAAGGAAAAACCACGAGACATTGTCCAGAAAATATCTCTACTATAGAAAAGCAGGATTACAATATTTGACTCTCTTACAAAGAGGATAACACTCAATATCACCCAAAAAGGATGGAAATACAAACTCTCTCTAGTATCTCACTAGGAATACAAAACTCACACTTAAGTGGATATAAGCTTCTCACTTTCTCTATATGTTGCTCTTTCTCACTTGCTCATGCATTTCTACTTCACAAGTTCCCTTTATATAGTGAAGGAAATGAATGCTTCATCATAAAGACATAGTGGATGATTAATTGTTGTCATACTTTCAAGATACCTTGAAAATGTTATTCCAACTTTCTAAGTTGCACTTCATGGTTCTCAAGAGTCAATGAATAATTCCAAGACTTACTCTAACTTTCTAAGTTATGCTTTATACTTTCCAAGAGTCATTGGAAGAGTCATCATACAATGGTTCATCTACTAAGTTGCATTGGTTATACTTCCACATCAATTAAGAAGGATTCCTAACACATCATAGGGGAGGGAATGTTGTACAGAAAAAATGCAACGTGGAGATTAAATTTAATCATCCTAAATTCCTAACTATGCTTAGGAGCCTAAATGGAACATAAATCTATGCATCAATCCTATATCACATGTTTTACAAAAGTTATTTATTATTTTTATTACTCATGAATTATAATGCCCCATTAAATTTTTTGACATTGTGATCAGTATAATTATATAGATGTTTTTTATATATATACTAGAGCGTGTTGACAATACTTCATGTCTGTCGACCCGCGTTTTTATTGATGCATATTAAGTATTCAATTTTTATATATTTTATTTTATACAATTATAATTTTTTTGTAGTAAGAGTACTTTAAGTTAAAAATGTATTTATTATAATCCATTTAAGGTGAGATATGTGATTAATGTGGTAATGATAGTTACTTAGGATCATATGGTTTTTTTTGTAGAAATTAAAAAATATAATGGCAAAATAGGAAAATAGAAATTACACCATAGTGGTAGTTATTTCATGTTTTGGCTTTATATATATTTTATTTTATACAATTAGAATTTTTTATAGTAAAAGTACTATGTTAAAATTTTATTTATTATAATTCATTTAAGGTGAGATATGTGATTACTATGGTAATGATAGTTAATTAGGATTATATGATTTTTTTTTGTATAAATTAAAAAATATAAGGGCAAAATAGGAAAATAGAAATTATACTATAGTGGTAGTTATTTCATGTTTTGGTTTTATATATAGTATAAATGATGAAACTTAACGTAATTATAGGGTAAAAATTTAATGCATGCCGTGTAGAGTATATAAAATCACTTAAAAACTAGAAGAAAAAATTAGGCTGATAATAATAATAAATATTTAAAAACTTTATAAATATTAAATAGTAATAATTGTAGATAAGTAATATATACTCTATTGAATATAAGCAAGTATTTATAAAAGGACAAAACTTATGTACAATTCCTTAGGTACAAATGGTGTTTGTAGCCTATTAAAAGGTGACACGTGTTCATTTATATCATTAAGTCTTTCTCTTCTTTTGCAATTAAGAATCTCTTTCTTCAAAGTATAGGTGATAATGAACATGTGTCACCTTTTAATAGGCTATAAGCACCATTTGTACATAAGGAATTCTACTTAAGTTTTGTCCTTTATAAAAACATGTTTCTTCTAACTTGATGGCTTGGATTGAAACACATGACATCACACCAACTCCAATTTCCATTCGCTTACTTCAAAGGAAAGGTAAAGTATTTGTTTTTGTACGGTAATGGATCTACAACAAGGAAACAAAACATAATAGAGATCATATATTCCAAAAACAATTATTTTTTTATTTCTAACCAATCAAATTATATTAATTAATGTAAAATATTAATTTTTATTTTAATCAAATATCATTTTTTAAATTGAACGGTGTGGGACAAAAGATCTATATAAGAAGAAAAGGAGTGTATGGTTCTCCTACTCTTAAGTCTTCACAAATTTTGAGTTATATTATTGGTATTTATTAGTGGGAACAGGATATAAATTTATCACATGCATTACCCATCTTAAAATCAAATGCAATTCAATAATGTCCATATTCAAATGTTTCCTTAATTTAAGGATTTATTGTAAATATTTATATCATCATTATATTATTTATCATTCACTTGAATTACATCTTTATGAAGAGTCATTTATTATTAAAAATAAATGCAATACATATACAATTTTCTCAGTTTCATTATAACTAGCATGCAATGTTTTAAATTTAATTTCAAGTTTTTATAATACCTGCATGCCATATTTAAATTTGATGTAAACGTTATGGCAATCATCATATGTTACCCACTTCACCCACAAATATTTCTTAATCTCAACACCAAATGGGCTAAACACGTAGGGTGACTATGAGTTGGTTGGATTGTATAACACTTGTCTTTTATCTGGCTCTAAAGATTAGTCGGTTATTTTTTAAACTTGAATTCGACCATAAATTTGAATCTAATCTGATACTAAATGTCGATGGAGCCAACTTTAAAAATTGATGTAGATTGTCGTACGAGTCTCAAACTAACGACTATAACGCATTGCTTTAATGAACTAAAATGGCTACAGTTCTAAACATCAAGAATATTTTAATGTAGTGAAGCATCACTGTGGATACATGGACTATAAACTTCTTCTAGGATATATGAAAATCGTATGGAACATCACTAATTGCTAAAACTTAGCATCCATTTTTTTTTAACTATCATCATGAAATAAAACTATATGAATTAGATACATATATTGTGGATGGAATTTAAACATTAGGATCGTTGAATAATAGAGTATAACTATAGTCTAAATCTTATTAGGTCGATTGACCAAAGTGTTACATTGAATTCTCTTACGACGATAGTGCATTGCTTTAATGACGAATGACGATGAAGCTTTAAAGAAATACAAATACTCCTTTGTATTGTATAATAATCTTATACGTTATATAATATTCGAATACTCTTCTTATAATAATTATACCACTCATTCAAGGGTCAAAATTGACTTACGACAAATATGTTTGTTTTCATTTAAAGTAAATATATCAATAAAAAAGATTGAAATTTAAACAAAATGTTATTATAAAAATTGAATCACATAATTTTTAGAGATATTTATAATACTGATTTAAAGTTTATATATCTAATTTCGCCGGCAATTTTATTAATATATAAAACACTACAATATTAATACGGAACAAGTAAAAAAATACAAAAATACTTACACTAATATTGTAGAGCTTTCCAAAAAGGAAAACTCTTCACAAAAATAAGCGTATGCCACTTGTAGTGGCAAGCACACGGTATTCTTTAGTAAAAGGCGAAAGAATAGTTCGCTTTGTGCTTACCACATGGCTGCATGATTTTAATAAAATACATGTCTTCTTATTTATAGTGCAGTGACATTACTCAATTCAACAGACCAAACGGTGTGGGCTTTGGTTCTAAACAGAAACACAATTCCCCACTCACACTTCATTTCATGTTGTGTTCTCTGCGGTTCCTCCACAGTTTATTACGAGTGTTTGTTCCTTGATCTTTCTTTCACATAGTTTTATTACAGACTTCATATCTTAATGTCTCAATACAAAGGAGGAAGAAACTTGGTCTATAATGAAGCTTGGTACAACAAAAAATTGACAATGATCCTTGCTATATATTAAGCACACTTCAACTATAAATTATTTTCCAGTGACTCAAATAAGTAATAAAGTATAGCTTAAAAAAGCAAATTACACTTCAATAGTTCTATAATCACTTAAAAGAACAGTTACCTTATCATTTCTTGTAGAACTGTGTGATAGTCATATCCAAAGAGAGTATGCTCTGCCATATGCTAAAGCTTTTTAATTGATCAAAACATAATCAAAACTGGTTGTCTGCTATTAAATATGTTGGTAGATCAAAACTGTACATTAAATTAATCGATGAAATGGAGAGTCATAAGATGTTCAAGTGATTAGGCCGAATGGTTTAAAGAATTGAATGATAAGAAGATGAAGGTTCAAGATTGAAATACTTACTTTGCTTATAAAAAACGACAATGTTTTATTTGCATTCCATTTTGTACAGAAAATATTAGTGTGGTCGATATGGTGTCATGTTCACACAACCTCGTTCGAACGTGGTCTCATGACCCTCCCCCTAAGGGTCCCACCATACCATTATGATGCCCTTTTTCAACTTCAACCCCAAAGTTCCCACATCCTATGTATCTTCTACTCAAAGATTCTCTTCCTTGGAACATGCAAATACTCAACTACTTTAACCAATTATATCATTAAGACATTAACTAATAAATTATAACTACACTTATTGTAATGAATCATACATTCTTAAACCATTTTGTTGTAAGACACAATGAACAACATGTGTAGGTGCACAAGGTCAAAGCACTTAAGTGTGCTTCTTTGGCTACAAATTTTGGTTATGAGTTTGTTGTTCATTGGGATAATACAATGCCAAGAAATGAATGATTATGAACAAATTAATAACCCTTCTGTTCTTCCCCTTATTACTCAAATTGTATATACTAGACTTTCCAATCTTACCTCACTTCTCAGTCAACAAATCAGTTCACAATCCACTTTCTGTGTCAAAGATCCGTGAGTATTTCATTTTCTTCTTCTTTTTCTGAAGCAGAAACACTTCCAAATGCATTTGATAGGACTTTTCATAAGGTTCTTGGTTATGGAAGCTTGATAGTCTTTTCATGAAGTTTTTATTAGCATAGTGCACATTTTGTTAATAGAATATGCATTTGATATTCTAGAGAATTACTGTGTTTAAAATCATTCTTCAGTGTAAGTATTATACTTCAAATGTTTCAAATTTGGGTTTTGTTTGCAATGAAATATGATGAATCATATGATAAAGGAAACCATTGAGAGATAATACTTTTTACACATTTAAGTTGACTATTTTGATGTATGGGATTTTGTTGTTGTTGATACTGATTTTTTTGTATAACCAATGATATCTCTTCATCCTACGCTACGGGTAAGGAACTAATCCATTTTGGAGTGTGTGATTGTCTCTTCCAACAACTATCATATCGCTCACATAAATTGAACATTTGACTTTTTTTGTCTATTTGAGATCCAGTGGAGCCTTATAGAATAGATACTGATTTAACTACAAAACTGAATTTTCTTGTTTCAGGGATGCTGATTGGAATCAGGCATTTAATTTTTCATCTGATTTGGGCTTCTTGACTTCTTGCATTACCAAGACTAAAGGCATGGAAAGAAATTACACTGTTGCTCCAATTTGTTTCTAAGAAAATAGTATATGAAAAGAAAAGATACCCTTGTTTTCCATTTCAATAATTTTCCTTCATACATCTAATGGAACATAAATTTTTAGAGTGTACTACATGCTTATTAGTCTATGAGGTTGAAATTATGATGATATTGAAACTAATGTACTACATTTTAACTTTCAATTACCATTTAGCATTCTTACTTACTAGCACCATTCTTCTGATGCTTTGGACTCTGCTGATTCTGATGATTTAACAGGAGATATTACGAAACGGTTGTGCACCGCGGCAGAAGTGAAGTTTTATTTAGATAGTTTATTAGAGAGATCTACAAGTGCCAGTTATCTAGAGCCTAACAAGAACTGCAATTTAACATCATGGGTCCCTGGTTGTGAGCCAGGATGGGCCTGTAGTGTTCACTCAGACCAGAATGTTGATCTTAGAAATTCGAAGGATATACCTGCAAGAACTTCAAACTGTCAACCATGTTGTGAAGGCTTCTTCTGTCCTCATGGTATCACGTGCATGATGCGTAAGTGTAACGAGAATCTTTATAATCCTTTCTTCATAACTGACAGCTGCAAATACCTTATGATTGTTTAAGATGAAATCAATTTTTATCTAACTTTTAAGCGTAATCAAGTTGTGTGATATAGTTATCTGTATATAGATATTCAAGGATTTAGAATTTGGAACTATCTTATATTGTTCTAGTCAACAAATTAAATGCTCATTTTTGTAACACCGATGATTGTCAATATCTATTCGAAAAAATGTCTCTGATTCTTCCATCTTTTTCTGGGATTTGCAATGTTGTTCTTGAAGCTTGCCCTCTAGGTTCTTATTGTCCTATTGCTACACTCAATAAAACTACAGGCGTATGTGAACCGTAAGTTGTAATTCTGACCCGAAGCTTTGTTTGTATTTTTCTGGAGTTATTGCTCGCATTTGCATGCATGATTGTGTATAAAATTAACAAATGGATATATTTTGCAGATATCTTTATCAACTGCCTCCAATGCAGCCAAACCATACATGTGGTGGAGCAAATGTATGGGCTGATGTTAGTAACAGTGGTGAGATATTTTGCTCAGCAGGATCTTATTGTCCAACAACTACCAAAAGAATTCCATGCAGTAGTGGGTATTATTTTGCTCCAATACATGGTTTCTATTTATAAACATATCAAGTTAATCTCAAGTGTTAGAGATATTATAGTTCTTGCATCCAATAACTTAAGCTTTTTGGAAGAGATGATTCAAAATATCGTATTAGAGCCTTTAGATCAAGTGTCTTGTCTCCCTCATTCTTCTCAATAATATATGAATTTCAACACATGGTAAAGATGGGTCTTAGCATTGTCGACGCTTCAATCCCGAAGGGCTATTGCATGTGAGGAGTACTAGACATGTAATAAAATCATTCATGTGCACAAATAGAATGTCCTTTTATGGTTTCCCTAAAACCGGAGATTTTGTACCTAGTCAGCAAAAAATGTACAACTTTAGTTAATTTATGAGTATAAGTTTATACTATTACCTGCATTTCATGGTTATAAATAATGTATGCTGCTTTTGTTCATCATTCTGAATTTTCTGAACATTTTCCTTTTAATTTTCAGGCATTACTGCAGGACGGGTTCCACGTCTGAGAAAAGTAAGATATCATGAATTTGGAATTCTCACAGCTAAAGTATTGTATTTTGGTCTCAGACTTTACTAATTAATGTGTTACCATAGATATGCAGAGTTTATGTGACCATTTACCGATTATCTTGCAGGATGCTTCAAGTTGAGTTCATGTAATTCAAACACAGCATACCAGAATATCCATGCATATGGAATTATGCTCATTGTAAGTTGTTATTTCTTAAGCTGAATGGTGGAGTATGGAATATATGCTCAGAAAAACTTTCATTTAGTTCATTGCCTTGTTTCTCTGTAATGACTGTACCCCAACATTTTGTGACTAAATTGCTATAGTGATATATACTCAGAAAAAGTTTCCAATATTTTATTGCTCCTGTTTTTCATTTTTTAGTTTCAAACCCATGTGCAAATATAAGCTTTGAACCATGGTCAATGTTTGATACAGTGTCATATAGAGAAACATAGATAGATACACATACACATACACATACACATACACATACACATACACATACACATACACATGCACATGCACATGCACATGCACAGAGAGAGACCATGTTGGAAGAGGTTAACACTTTTTAACTGCTTATGCAGGCAGCATTGAGTACTTTGCTACTCATTATTTACAACTGTTCTGACCAAGTTCTCACAACTAGGGAAAGGAGAGTGACCAAATCTAGAGAGGCAGCAGCTAGAAGTGCAAGGAAGACCGCGAATGCACACCAGAGATGGAAAGCTGCAAAAGATGCTGCTAAGAAGGGTGCAACTGGGCTGCAAGCTCAACTATCACGCAAATTCTCGCTCAAAAAGGATGCAGAAAATCTGGATAAGTTTAAGATTTTGAATCAAGCAACTCCTGAAATAGATGTTGAATCGTTGCCACATGCACATCCTATTACTACTTCAAGCATGGCTGCAAGTTCATCTGCGGTGCTGGTACCAAAGGAAAAAGGAAAAGGGCCTAGTGGTTTGATGCAGATTATGCATGAAATTGAGAATGACCCTGAAATTAATGACAACTTTACTGTAGAAACAGAAAGTAGAGATAAGAAGGTTACAGGAAATGTGACAAAGGGAAAACAGATGAATACTCGGAGCCAAATGTTTAAGTATGCATATGCTCAACTTGAAAAAGAGAAGGCTCAGCAACAAGAGAACAAGAACCTTACCTTCTCTGGAGTAATTAAAATGGCTACCAACACAGATAAAAGGAAAAGGCCTTTAATTGAGATTTCTTTCAAGGATCTTACTCTTACATTGAAAGCTCAAAATAAACACATATTGAGATGTGTGACCGGGAAGATTAAACCCGGCCGCATCACAGCTGTCATGGGTCCATCAGGAGCTGGCAAGACAACATTTCTTTCATCTCTAGCTGGAAAGGCATTCGGGTGCTCGGTCACTGGCTCAATTCTTATAAATGACAGGAATGAATCAATCCACTCATTTAAGAAAATTATTGGCTTTGTGCCACAAGATGATATAGTTCATGGGAATCTGACAGTGGAAGAGAATCTCTGGTTCAGCGCACAATGCCGGTATATTACTTCCCCCGACATTCTAACTGCAGTATATTCTAAATTGTGTTCATTATTTCATGCAAGTTTATGTACTTTCCTTTGTCTGGATTTTCCTGAATCGAACTGAAAGCTCTGAAAGTCATGTAGCTCTATCTTCTAAACTCCAATGGCCATTATGATTATAATTTAATTTTAGTCTATCTTATTCAAATGGGAAATTTAAGAGATCAAATAGCCTTGTAAGTTTCCTCTTCATACATTAGTATTGGATAATATTGCAAGAAGCAATACTTTTAAGTTTTCATTATCATTTATGTTTAGCCCCTAAAATATTTCTTTTGTTTTGTTTCCTTCTAATACTTATGCATATAGTATTGTTTATGATAGTTTTTCTGTTTTTGTATGTTTCATTCAATTTTTTTTATAATGTTAAAGGCTATCAGCAGACTTGTCAAAACCAGATAGAGTTCTGGTTGTTGAGAGAGTTATTGAATTCTTGGGGCTTCAGTCTGTGAGGAATTCCTTGGTTGGAACCGTGGAAAACCGAGGGGTCTCTGGAGGCCAAAGGAAGCGTGTAAATGTTGGATTGGAAATGGTTATGGAACCTTCACTTCTGATCTTGGATGAACCTACGTCTGGTTTGGACAGTGCATCATCTCAGCTCCTTCTAAGAGCACTGCGACGTGAAGCTCTCGAGGGAGTGAACATTTGCATGGTAGTTCATCAACCCAGGTAACTTTTAATACCATCTCTTCATAATTGGGATGTTTTCATCTACAATTTACTACACTAGATTCTTTGTATTTTATGATATGCTTATTGCACATTGACAATGTTTTTTGCTCTATATACTTTATGTTGTCTTGACCATCTTGTGTCATAGAATAAGGTTCTGTGTTTTTCTTTGGATATTGTGAACTCATATGTACCGTATTATGGTACACATTTCTTTTAAATGCTCCTTGTTAGATCACTGCATTGGCAATATGCACGAAAAACCATTTTGAAGACTTACCTCATAATCATTTCGTAATTTCGATGTGCTGACACTTACCAGTAAGATTACTTTTCCTTGATTAATTAATATTTGGACTTTTTGCTTCTTCAGCTATGCTTTATTCCAGATGTTTGATGACTTGATACTTCTGGGAAAAGGCGGTCTCACCGTCTATCATGGATCCGCAATGAAAGTTGAAGAATACTTTTCAGGCCTAGGGATCAATATCCCGGAGCGGATTAACCCTCCAGATTACTTCATTGACATATTGGAAGGCATAATAGTACCTGGTGGAAACTCAGGGCTTAGTTATAAAGAGTTGCCAGTTAGATGGATGCTTCATAATGGATATCCAATACCTCATGATATGAGGCAGCATGCAGAACAATTTGATATGTCTCTAAGTGTAAATTCAGCTAATGAAACAGATCGTAATGGCCCGGGACATGATGAGAAAACCTTTGCTGGAGAATTATGGCAAGATGTGAGAAACAATGCAGAAGTGCGGAGGGAGAAGATACGGCTCAATTTTTTGACATCCAAGGATGTATCTAATCGGAAAACTCCTGGTCTATTCAAGCAATATAAGTACTTTCTCATACGGTAAGCCATCTTTTGACCTCCTTTCTCATGCTGGAGGATGAATTAGATCTCTTTCTATGACTTTACTATAGTCCAAGATTCTGCATTTTCTTCTGTCATGCTACTTACTCCATGGTAATGTTATTTCAGGGTTGGGAAGCAGCGATTACGGGAAGCTAGGATACAAGCCATTGATTATCTGATTTTGTTACTTGCTGGAGCCTGCTTAGGATCGCTTACGAAATCAAGTGATCAAACATTTGGTGCAGCTGGGTACACCTATACAGTAATTGGTGTATGTAAGTTATACACATTCCTTGATGGTAGCCTAGAAGTTCATGTACAATTTTTTTTTCATTGATATGGTATGAGTTTACCCTTATGGTTAAAGTTCAACCACCCTTTTGAAAAATGTGAGCAAAGTAATAACTATCATATCCCACTTACATTTGTGCTTGTTCTCACGAGCTTTTCGTCTAAATTTTTATCAGCCTTGGTTCAAGTTGTGGAACTAATTATTGGCAGAAATTTCATTATCAGCTCTTCTGTGCAAAATAGCGGCATTGAGATCATTTTCTTTGGATAAATTACTCTACTGGAGAGAGAGTGATTCTGGCATGAGCAGCTTGGCTTATTTTCTTTCTAAAGACACAATTGATCATTTTAATACAGTGATCAAGCCTGTGGTGTACCTCTCTATGTTCTATTTTTTCACCAATCCGAGATCTTCTTTCGCCGATAATTACATCGTGCTTCTCTGTCTTGTATACTGTGTGACCGGCATAGCATATGCACTGTCCATACTTTTTGAACCCGGGGCTGCCCAGCTGGTGAGTAAAAGCAAAGAAAAAAACATTTACCAAACCCACAATTGAAATTTACTTATCATTCAGTACTTCCAATTCTCCTCTAACTGTTCTATGCTTCTTGCAGTGGTCAGTACTTCTTCCTGTTGTTTTGACTCTCATTGCAACACAACAAATAGATAATAAAACTATGAAGGCTATAACTAATTTATGTTACTCCAAGTGGGCTTTACAAGCATTTGTAGTTGCAAATGCTGATAGGTAATCTATTAAAGATGCTTATTTATTTATTGAATTATTGCATTTATTGTTCAGAGTCACTCATAAGAATACAGGTTTAAGGATATTTAGCATGCAGTTGATTACATTTTTAGTGCAGATATCAAGGAGTGTGGCTCATAACTCGTTGTGGTTCACTTTTGAAGAGTGGATATAATCTTCATGATTGGAATTTGTGCATATCTATCCTCATTCTCATGGGGGTAATTGCACGGGCAATAGCATTTTTCTGTATGGTTACTTTCCAGAAGAAATAAGGCCAATCTTCAAGCTACCAAAAGAATGAGCTTCACTAAAACTTCAAAGAAACTACATTAGGATTTTCATGATACAAGAATGGTTGATCAATTTGATACTGGTCATTGTCCTGAATTTATGCAAGTTGGCAAGGATAACATCATATTATGTTTGAAGATATCTAGAACTTGTGTATGTCACTAATGTAAATGAATGCCTTTTTTTTTTAAAAAGGTTTCTAACATTTCATGTTATTAAATTTCCTAGTTGATTGATCAAAAATAATGTTGCATAGTACATCATTTGATTGTACTATTATATAGTTGAACCAATATGATTCCACTAAGTTATAGCTGGTAGCCAGTGCCACTTGCAGTTGAGGGTGTAAAGGCACATACCGAGGAAAAAATATTCCTTACATTTACACAATGATAATATTTTTTTGCACATTTGGTTATCATATATTCTGCAACCTGCATACCCTATCATCGGATTCTTGATCCGTCACTGCTTAATATCGGGTTTTATGGCTCAAATTGTAAAATAAATAAACAAATATTTGAATAACCATGACGTATTGAAGTAGCCTTTGAAGTTCTTTCTCTATTTTACTATAGAAAACTCGAGGTCCATATTTTTATGTAATTTAATACTTTGTTTTTAAGTTGGTTTATAATGAAAATAGTATTTCATAACTCGCAATTATTTTCTTTCATTACCCTGAAAACCTAACTCTAAAGTAGTGAATGTTGAATTCGTACGCCAGATTTCACATCAAACTTTTTCAATTGAGATGTGTTAATTGTCATACATATCATACTATATATTTGAGGTAAATTATAAAATTCAATTCATTAAGGAAAATAATATGTATAGATATAATAAATAAAATAATTAAAATAAATATTGCAGAGGTATATTATAAAATTGAATTTAATAAAAAAATTGAAAATGATAGTGAAGAAAATAATACATAAAATAATTAAACTAAAACTGTAGAGCTTTCCAAAAAGGAAAACTCTTCACAAAAATAAGCGTATGCCACTTGTAGTGGCAAGCACACGGTATTCTTTAGTAAAAGGCGAAAGAATAGTTCGCTTTGTGCTTACCACATGGCTGCGTGATTTTATTCAAATACATGTCTTCTTATTTATAGTGCAGTGACATTACTCAATCCAACAGACCAAACGATGTGGGCTTTAGTTAGACACAGAAACACAACTCTCTATGCATTAAGAGTGTTGTGTCCTCTGCGGTTCCTCCATAGTTTTCACTCCTCTATGCATTACGAGTGTTTGTTCTATGATATTTCTTTCACATAGTTTCTGTTACAGACTTCAGATCTAAATTTCTCAAACAAAGGAGGAAGAAAGTTGGTCTACGATGAAGCTTAGTACAACAAAAAAGTGACCAAAACTGTGCTTGGTTATGCCCACGAAATCCATATGTTTCAGGCTCTTTGCTAATGGTTGCTACCAGATGCAAAGTATTTCATTTGGGTCTTCTTCAATCTCCCAGAAAAACCATAGCATGTTCCAGAAACAATACATTCCTGAAGATAACCAAACTTTCTTAAGCTATCTACATAGTGAACCTGAACTTATCCTTATGTTGTTACTTATCTTAATATTGTAAGTTGGAATAAGCTGAAGAGACTGTTTTCATATTGGTCATTTGTTTGTGCTTTTGAAATTCATTTAAAGGAATACTTTGACAACCAAATATAATTTCAAGGAAATAAATTGTCAAATTCATGACTAAACAGCCAACATTTTTCAACAAATATTGCAGCAAAATGAACATTCAGTGACCTCTGGGGGCTTCTAACAAACAAAGAGTTAAGCCATCACATTAGTTTGTTAGTCAAAAGCAAATCTTTACCAAGTAAATAAACAATATTCTTCAAAATAAAGGTTTTATTTGTGCCTTATATATGCAGTATGCTTTGTCCTCAGGAACAAACACTAGAACTTTGGATAAACAAGGTACAATTCAGAGACAAACTTCTGCTTTAGGTCATTGCAAAACAATAGACGCAAGGATTAAAAAAAGTTACAGATCGATGATTTATGATGATTATCATTTATGATATAACATTATGACATTATATGATTTATATTGACAATTTCATTTAGTATGATTAAGACTCGATTGTTGTTATCAATTTTTTTTATAAAAAAAACATGCAAAAAAGAAAGGAATTCATAATCAATAAGGAATTGGATACCCTGCATCCATCTTTATTCTTTCCCCATCAGCACTCAATGAACATTATTTTCCCTGTGTGATTTTTAATTGTGTGGATAACAATTTTTATGGAGAGAAATCCATCATGGACTTATACTAGTATATATAATCTAATGAGCATAATAGTAAATATAAAATTTTAATCCAACAATCAACTATGTACTAAAATTCTAGACAATCCCATTAAAGGGAACAAGTACATTAGATTTCAACCTATGTAGAATCTGATCTGGCATCATTCTCCTTTGAACATAGAGGGGAAGATAATACAATGTTGCAAAATACCAACATTAAAATGCTTGCTTGAAGAATATATATATAAAATACATATTCAACCAATATGATCAACTTATCATTATTTCTGTGTCTACTGTTTATGTGCAAGGATCTGAATTCTCAAAAGCAAATATTTCTTCAGTAAGCACCAAAATAGTTGATAAAGATAACAATTCATTGAATGTGACCTTCAATATTAAGAAGATCATTAGACAAAAGAGTTGAGTTCACAAACAGCAACCACACTTCCTTACTCTTCTGAAATCTTGGTACTACCCTATTCAAGGTTTTTTGCCAGCTATATCTTCCAGTGTAAGATTCAGTGTATCAATGGATCCTTTTTTCACTTCTTCTCCATTTGCAGCCAGATAATCCTCAATGCTTCCTGGTTCTCCAAACCAACCAAGACGGTCTGCAATCAAGTGTAGATTATTACACCCCTCACATCTTGCCACTACTACGCCTTTTTCATATGACTCGCGACAAGCTGCCTTAACCGATCTTGTTTCACAGACCTTACAGGTAAAAACCATAACAAAGTCGTGCCGAGGCGATGTTTTCAAACTGGACTTGGCACTGAATTTTACAGCGGAGTTCTCGATAATGCTCACCGATGTTGGAACATTATGCGAGCTCAAGCTAGAGTTTGTGCTGTCAGCTTGTGCATTTTCTAAATCTCCACAAACATGTTCCATTGGATTCGTATGTGTGGAGACACCTTTATGAATCCCATACCTGTTTAATACTGCTCCAACAGAACCATGCCAATAGACAATATTAACATATTAATAATAACAACTTCCAATGTCAGTTCAGTGTATAGTTCACAATTACTAACATGAGAAAATCTTTATGGACACGCATACAACATGTCATATTTAGAGACAATTACATTCATTTTTTTGTGTTATCATTTAAAATTAATTTTTAATTAGAATTAAAGATTTTATTGGTTGTTTATTCTATGTTTACAACAATCAACAATGAAAGCGTATTTCTGATTAGGATTCTTCAGATGAAGAAAAAAGCAAATAGGAACTGAAACGACATAATTTAAAAAAAGGGTTTTGTAATTGAGAAAATTAAAATGAAATAAGAAGAATAAAAACAGAAATAATAACAAATGAAAATAGGAACTTGCCTTGAGTTGTTGGATAGGGAGTGTGGTTTCGTGAGAAAATGAATGAGATGAATCGCCTCTGCAACATCCTCAACCTTATTATGATCACTACTGCTCTATTCCCAAACTATGAATCAACAATGGAGTTCTACCTTTTCAGTTTCAGGTTTTGGGCTTTGCTTTTTCTCCAAGATATATATATTGGGCCTTTCACCAAAAATTCAGTTTTAGTGGCCAGATTTCTTGAATAATGGAAAATGAAACAACATACAAAGTAATCAGAGTAATAAATAAAAAAACAGGTCATTAATACTATACCGGTTATCAAGTCACTAAAGATATTAGTATAGCCATATAGTGGTTTAACCAGTAATTTATTAATTAAATCGCATACTTTTAAAATTAGATATATAAATCAATAAAAATAATATATACTTTTATTTTATTAAAAATTAATTTTATATATACGATTACATAACCGATATAATTATTTACCGTACGGATATTGGGACAAGTTTATCAATAAACACAAACCACTTTTTAGGATACTAACTAAAATAGAAAAGGTAGAGGGGATGTATGAAATGATTTTCGCCACAAATATATTAGCCTCCCTTTGATCAATGGCCAGTTTTCTTGAACAATCACTAAAAAGCAATGTTATTAAAACCGTACCGGTTATCAAACCGGTTAGGGTACTGGTATAGTGGTTTAACCAGTGGTTCAGTAATTAAACCGCATGCCGGTTAAACCGGACATACTTGCTTATATATATATATGTAAACCTATAACAAAAAATTTCAAATAAGTAGAAATTCATATTTATAATCCATATTCATAATTTACTTCAAATTCACACAAACAACATTAAGTCTTTAATAAAATCAAAGTCTAAAGTACAAAACATATATTTATCCAAAATTATCACTTAACAAACGCAAAATACAAATAAATGACCCAAGTATCAATCATTGAAGTTGAAGAATTGGTGAAGAATTGAAAATTTGAAATTCAAAAAAAAAAAATTAATGTACAAACCGACCGGTTTAAACCGGTTTTGACCGGTTCTATTGCATATGCGGTATAACATACGTACCGTACCGGTTAGGAGTCCGGTTCACCGATTTTCCGATTGAACCGGCCGGTACGACACGATTTTTGAAACATTGCTAAAAAGTGAGAATTGGTTGATAATTCAATAAAAGTTAACAGATATAAAAATGGGATGTTGATTGTTGAGTATATAAATATTAGACAAATAATGAGAAAAGGAGTCCCAGAAATATTAGTATACTTATATAATATTATATTATATATTATTTTTATAATATAAGATGATGATACGAGTAATTATTATTCAAGGATTTCTCTATTATTTTTAAACAATGTGTTACTATTCACTCATCAATCAATAAAAAATGAAGAAAATCAACATATAGTTTTATTATCTTTTATAGCTTTTTCTTACTAGTAGAATTAATTAAGTTTATTTTCACCTATGGGTGACAAAATTATCCACAATTTATAATTCATCCAAATCCGAACTAATTGATTTAAATGGATATAATCCAATAGATATTATTATATCTAATTGATATTCATGGATATATCCATTTGGATGGATACACAATCCATCCAAAAAAATAAAAAATAAAAATTTTGTTTTTCTCAAAACACACATACAAACTCATTTCTAACAAAATGATTACTTCAAAAGTTGCATTACTCTTTCTAACAAAAACATTCATTCAGCAAAAGCTAAATTTCTTCATCTATGGAGATTTCTTTTTTCAATATCTTCATCCTTTCTCATCTTCATTAAATGCTTCATTTTCTCCAATGATTTATTTTAATTTTGATATTCTTTCGATATTAATTGATATATCTTTTGATTCTCTTCTATATTTAAAACCCTAACTTTTGTTTTTGGGAGTTTAAAATATAGGTATTGGAATTCATCAATAAAGGACATTTAAAAATATGCTTTAATTTTGATGAAAATATGTTTTAATTTTGTGGATTGGTGCTAGCTAGAAGTTTATTGGTCATTTTGCTTTGAGTATAAAATCTTTTTTTGTACTTAGCTTTCACATAATTGCATTGAGTGTTTAACATTTCTTGTCAATTTTATTTCTCTTGTATTCTCTTCAATTGAATATTTCAACTATTATATCAATCATATAATTTATTTTTAGTAAATATAATATATGTTTGTAACCAACCAAAAATATATGAAAAGTGAGAGAAATAAAAAAAAACTAATCTATGAATTTTATGATATACGTCAAAAAATTTCAACAACACTATCATGAACCTCACTTGAAGGTTTTAACACTGTTAGTTTAAGCTTAACCACATGATTTACCATTAAAAGCTTAAAAGTTAATTTTTAAGTTTAGTAGTCTTTTATGTTTTTGGAGAAAACTTTAAAAGTTCACATTTTTAAAAGTGTTTTTAAACTTAATTTTAAAAAAA